CTTCTTCTTCTACTACTATCTTTTGAGGCATCTATAGAAGACCTTCCTTTTTCAGCAAGTGGCGTTTGCCTCCTAGGTGGGTCATAAGGAAAGGGTTAAATGAGTGTGAAGTGATTGGCCAGTGGGAACCCAAGGGGAGGAGTTAGTTAGAGTTGGAGTTGTGTGGAAGTCAGTTGAGAGTTGGGAGTTGGAGAAGGAAGAGGGAGGATAAGTCTGTGGGTTGGTCGAGTTGTGTTGTGAGAGAGTGAGAGGAACTGTTAGGTGGAGTCAGATAGATAGTTGGGATAATCAGTTTGAAGTTTTTAGGAACGTATAGAACAGTAAAGAGACAAAGATTAAGAAACTGCCAAGAAAAATTAACTGAAACCTTAAACTTGTTCATGCTTATAAAAATAAACTTGATTATTTGTTAATGTTAACAACTGTCTGGACTCTGTGTGTACCCGAGAGAAACACGTTGGTGGCAGGGAAGAGTCAATCACAGTGGTGGCACAGGGATCAATAGACAGTCAAACATCCGGGGACCCTGTGTGATCGCCACAGCAAGCTTTTCAAGTGGAGATGCTGATCCCAGCCTGTATCTGTACAGGATTTAAAATAGCTTATAAGTATGTAATTGTTTTTAATTGTTTGCATATATTGAATTGCTTTTACATACACTTTCTACTATTGGGGGATGACCAGGAGCTCACCAAGTTAGTGGCCAAATATATTTACCTGGTATTCTGTTGTCGAAACACATTGCAGACGACTGATCTCCTTGGAGACCTAGAGATGTGACAATAGTCTGCTCTGCCTCTCCTTAATTTTTTTATTTTATTTTTTTGGTAAATGTTTTGTGCCACTGGGGAAGTTGGAACTCTGTACTGTTATGTTATGAATGTTTGTATGTGATGCCAATAAAAGGTTTGATGATGATTAAGATTTTGCATTATAATCTAAAACTCAACACAAGGATCTGTTCCTTCTGCCCTCTTTCCTAGTTATCCTCCTTGCCTTAATATTTCTGCTTTCTGCCCTCCCAACCCATATTTTTCTACACATTATAGAAAAAAGGGGATGAACAATAAAGTATGATTTTTTTGTACAAAATCTAAAAACCTGGGTCTATTAATTCTTCCTTTGCTGCTGTACTCAGGAAAAAAGTTTCTGGATCTTTCTTTTTTTAAAATGAAACATAACAAAAAATTAAAATGAAGAGCTATATTCTGAAAGACAAAATTCACCACTGTACTCACTGTGATAAGACATCTGGATAATCACCAGCTATATCGCCGTATATAAATACTTGGCTTTCTCAGTAGTACCACGTTCCAAATGCCATCAAAACAACAGAAAGAGAACGATGCCTTTTAAATATTTCAAAATGGGCTTTGTCCTGTGCTTATGTTTAACTTTCATGAACATGAAAGATTGGCAACCCCAGTTGGAGAAAGCTGGAGACTGACTGAGTACACCTCAGCTTTAATATCATGCAGCATTAGCAAACCTCCTCAATATCACTTATTGCTAATTTGCGATATTTTAAACTACCAGAATTTTCGCTCTATAAGACGCACCAGACCATAAGACACACCTAGTTTTAGGAGGAGGAAAACAAGAAAAAAAATATTCTGAATCTCATAAGCCAGAACAACAAGAAGGATCACTGCACAGCGAAAGCAGCGATCCCTCTTGCTGTTCTGGCTTCTGGGATAGCTGCACAGCCTGCATTTGCTCCATGAGATGCACACACATTTCCCCATACTTTTTAGGAGGGAAAAAGTGAGTCTTATAGAGCAAAAAATACGGTAGTTCAGTCAATAGTGAAAGAGCAACTGGGGGAGAGAGTGCTCACCTCTTTTCCATTTATTTGCTCAGAATTCCTCATGCTGGTTACCACCCATTAGGCCAGGCTTCCTCCAGATGTTTTGAGACTACAATTCCCATCATCCCTGACCATTGGTCCTGCTAGCTAGGGATCATGGGAGTTGTAGGCCAAAAACATCTGGAAGACCGAGTTTGAAGAAGCTTGCACTAGGCAATAATGCTCTCCCTCAACCTCTGAATCTTCTTCCCCTGTGGGGAAAACTGCAGCTTAGGGCAATTTTGAACAGGTGAATGGCAAAAAGTGGGAAATAATAAACAACTCCACCCTCTTCCAATCCCATGCTCACAACTGGTAACCTTCCATGGCCGTTTCACAGTGAAAATAAACCACTGGGTGTTTGTTCACACATCTTTTGCATCTTGTCGAATTTGGCACCCAAGCTGATATAGTAAAACTTCTGGGCTGGCAGGAATCAGCTGGCAGCTCATTAGAATTTCTCTAAAATGCATCAAAGTCAGTCACTCCTACTTTGTGTTTTAAGGAAAGCTTTAATGTGTCAGGCACTGGTCAATGGCTGAGCCGTTTAACAATGAACTAAGTCTGGCTGTGCATTTTTACCGGTCGATGAATGCAAGCTGAGCATCCACACAGGTCACAAACTATGATGGTAAGTGGCTTTGCCTCACTTCAATTTGTGCTCTTTCAGAGTATACACACGGCATTTGTTGAGCTCAACCAGAAACCGATGGAAAGGGAAGATTAAGTCCTGATATACATTAATTCCTCTCACACTGCATTCATGTTTCCTTCTCACAAACACAGATAATTGTCTACTTGTTACTTATGTTTGAGAGAGGATAATGTGAAGTGTGAGGAGGGTTGGTTCACAGAAGTCTGTTAGCATGACTTCCTCACAAATGACAAACATTTTGCTTTAGTGTGGTGACTTTAACCATGCTGTCACAAGCTGTGGTGGTTATGCAGCATTCACAAAACTCTGTATTTATCTGGTATGCTGGCTGAGACCCTACCTGCCCGCAGACTGTCTCATCAGAATGATATATGCTCTAGTTATCTCCTGCTTGGACTACTGCAATGCGCTCTATGTGGGCCTACCTTTGCAGGTGACTCTGAAACTACAACTAATCCAAAATGCTGCAGCTAGACTGGTGACTGGTAGTGGCCGCCGAGACCATATAACACCAGTCCTAAAGGATCTTCACTGGCTCCCAGTATGTTTCCGAGCACAATTCAAAGTGTTGGTGCTGACCTTTAAAGCCCTAAACGGCCTCAGCCCAGTATACCTGAAGGAGCGTCTCCACCCCCATTGCTCAGCCAGGAAGCTGAGGTCCAGTGCCAAGGACCTTCTGGCGGTTCCCTCACTGCAAGAAGCAAAGCAGGGAACTAGGCAGAGGGCCTTCTCGGCAGTGGCACCCTCCCTGTGGAACACCCCCCCCCAACAGATGTCAGGGAGATAAAGAATTATGCAACTTTAGAAAACATCAGGGAAGTTTTTAATGTCTGACATTTTATTGTTTTTTTATATATTTTGATGGAAGCCACCCAGAGTGACTGGGGAAACCCAACCAGATGGGCGGGGTATAAACAATAAAAAAATTATTATTACTACTCCTACTACTCGTACTGTTACTACAAAGTTTTGTCTTCATTCATACCTGCTGTTTCAGGGGCAAATATGTCCAAGCACTAGAACTCAATCTCTACAGAGTTCCTCCTATACAGATCAGAAGTCATGCAACAGCCCCAGCCTAGGAGAGTTTAACTAAAGGCTATGGATGCCATTGGGATGCGGGTGGTGCTGTGGGTTAAACTACAGAGCCTAGGACTTGCCGATCAGAAGGTCTGTGGTTCGAATCCCCACAACGGGGTGAGCTCCCGTTGCTCGGTCCCTGCTCCTGCCAACCTAGCAGTTTGAAAGCACGTCAAAGTGCAAGTAGATAAATTTGTACCACTCCGATGTGAAGGTAAATGGTGTTTCTGTGTGCTGCTCTGGTTCACCAGAAGTGGCTTAGTCATGCTGGCCACATGACCCAGAAGGTGTATGCCGGCTGCCTCGGCTTATAAAGCGAGATGAGCGCCGCAACCCCAGAGTCGGCCACGACTGGACCTAATGGTCAGGGGTCCCTTTACCTTTATAGATGCCATTGGAGGAGGAGGTTGTGTGAACTAGTCCTTAGGTGGCTCCTGCTGTAATATGACTGGGGAAAGGGACGAGTTTTTAATTTCCAAAAACGTTCAGAATAGTGGCTGAAGGGTGTATGTTTTTATTTCTCAAAGAATCATTGTAGGGTTTTCAGAGAGGGGTAGAGAGGTCTAATGTGTTTGAAGTTTGAAAAGCTTTGAAAGTGCAGTAATAACTGGACCCAATCTAATGGGTTGGGGAGAGGCTGGGCAAAAAGACACATCTTTACAAGACATCTGAAGCAGCTGATGGATAGTATTTTACAAATGGCAGAAAAAAGAGCATTCCACAGAGCAAAGCAATCAGGGAAGATGGCCATGTTCTGGTCACTGCCTTGATATATTGTATATGGTATGGTTTCATGAGAAAAAATTACCAGGTGATCTAAGTAATCTTATAGCTTTACATATGTGCAGAACCCTTTTCATTATTCCCACTTTATCTTGCCTTGGTATGTTACAGTTAACAGCCAGTTTTAGTTAACAGAGTGATCGGCAGGTCAAGTTTATCTTTATTGACACTGGCTCCATTGTGGAGCATTGATTCATCTGATGGCTCAGTTCACGGGCCAAAATGCTGATCTAGCAAGAACTCTGTGGGAATAGCTATTGCAGGGGACAACACCCCAAAAGTGCAAGCTAAGGGTTAATTTAATTTTCGAGTTTTCAAGCAGTTAATGTGTAATAGCAAGCATCATTCACAATGCAGAGCTATTTGGCAGCTTTGGCTGCATCTAGAGAGTCCTGGCTCCAAACAGCAGACCCCCATGTGTCCCTATTTTCCAGGGACAATCCAGGATTCATGGAAGCCATCCCAGTTTTTGATTTGATCCTGGAATGCCCCACTTTTCCTTAGGATATCCCTAGTTTCATCAGTTGGAGGGTATGGAGTTATCTAACCGCCGAGCCACCTGAAGACAGCCCTGTACAGTAGAACCTCTACTTACAACCGCCTCCACTCGCGGACGTTCCAAATGGCGACCATGGCAAACCCAGAAGTAACCGGCAGGTTTGCCGCCATTCGCGCCTGCGCAGAAGCGGTGATCGCTGTTCGCGCATGCACAGGAGCAGGCAATTGCCGCCCGCGCCTGCGCACAATGGCACCTCTCCCAGCGACCCATTTTGCCATAAGGACGGGCCTCCGGAATGGATTGTGGTCGTGAGTAGAAGTTCCACTGTATAGGGAAGGTTTTTAATGTTTAATGTTTTATTATGTTTTTATATATGTTGGAAGCTGACCAGAGTGGCTGGTGCAAAGCAGTCACATGGATGGGGTATAAACAGTAAAATTATTATTATTACAGTGGTACCTCGGGTTAAGTACTTAATTCGTTCCGGAGGTCCATTCTTAACCTGAAACTGTTCTTAACCTGAAGCACCACTTTAGCCAATGGGGCCTCCTGCTGCCGCCGCACTGCCGGAGCACGATTTCTGTTCTTATCCTGAAGCAAAGTTCTTAACCCAAGGTAATATTTCTGGGTACCACTGTATTAATATTATTATGGAATAGGACGTCCCTATTTTCATCAGAGAAATGGTGATGGGTATGAAACAAGTCTCACCAGTGGAGTGAGTGTTGTTTAGCTGCCAGGTGGAAACAAAGAAGTGTTCCTCAGCCTGAGTTTCTGATATAAAAGGGTGAGCATATTTAGTATGTTTTGTGGTAGTGGTTTCATTTTGTTAGTCTGGTCTCACATGCTTTGCTGTCTGGCTTCTTAGTCATAGGGTCTTCTTCTGCAAACAGCTATTTGCAGCAGTCTCTCTGCTTCAGTTTTGTTCAGGCTATCGGTTTATGTCTCACTAAAAAATTTCAAGCCTTTTCCTTTCTGAATTTGGTCTATTTTATTCAACCACTTCTTCTAAGCAGCCTCAGCAAAGCAACTGCTCCCCCAAGCGGGCAGCTTCCAGAAGGTTCCACCTGACCCACTTGCCTTCATGCAGTGTGGGTTGCGCACATTGACCCTCAATGAGGCATATGAATGAAAACGGGGGCTAGTTGATAAACATGTTAATGCTCTCACCAGCTTATTCAACTTCTTTCCATTCAAAGTGATACATCGAGCGAGCAATTTGCATTCAATTAATCTGCTAATGAAGAAGTGGGAATTGCTATGGAGTGAAACTCCGCTTAATTACCTAATAAACAAGTAGGAAAACATTTCAAGTGGACTAAATGCTTCAGTTTGGTGACAGAAAGTGCTAAAGGCAAAAAGGAAATTACTTGCTTTTGTCTTTAGTGGAGAAATTGCCAGTTTTGAGCTTATATCCTTCTCCTTCTCTTTATAGCCATGCTCTTTTCCAGAAGGAGTTTAAGAAATCAGAAACCACTGGGCTGTACTCATGCCTAATTTAAAAATGTAGCATCTACTGCCTGTATAAATCGACTGAAACAACACTCTTTCCCTACCTCTGTATAATTATTTGAGGAGCTGATGTATGTGTTCTTTCTAGGGATGGAATTTTCTGAAAATTTTGGTGTCAAGATTATCGACACAGATGTGCTTCTGATTTGCAACTTTCTCCTTGAGCTCTGTGAGAAGGGCTTGTATTTTTGTGTTGGTTTTTCTTTTTTACAGGTTCTGCTAAAAGCACACACACACACACTTCATATGGTATATATGTCATTGGTGCCAACACACATTCAGGTTATGACTCCTCCCCAGCACTAGACATTAGGCAACTTTTGCATCAGGAAGGATGGAAGAACTAAGTGAAAGTGTTTATTAATTCTATAGGGCACAACCATGCATTCCAACTACCCTTATTCAATAGCTATAATTGGGGGCGTGCAGAACAGAGAAATCTTGATGAAACCCGAAACACTTCCCCCTTTAAATTTCTCCTCGAATAATCAGGGGGCAGCCCTACCATTGGCAGCTGTCTATTTTATTTTATTTTTTGCAAAAATTTTATTAGTTTTTACAATATCAACGACAAACAAAAACATAAAACAAACAAAACATAACAAACATAAATCCTAACCTTATTGAAAATAACAGTTATTTACTTTGTAAAACAACTTCCTCGTTTCCCCTTAGTTGAATTTCATTGCATATCCTTATAACGGCTTTCCAAATCCCAATTTTAATACCCTTTAAATTAAACATTAACATCTTTAAATCTTCTCCTTCTTGTATTAAACATATTATTTTGTCAGTTAACATAAGTACAATCCTAAGCCCATTGAGTATCTGGACGCTATTTCCAGTTATTTTAGCTTAACAAATTTAGCTAAATAATCATTAAATTTCTTCCATTCTTCATGGTGTTCCTCCTCCTCCTGGTCGCGGACTCTTCCGGTTAGATCGGCTAGCTCCATAAAATCCATCATCTTCATCTGCCATTCTTCTACTGTTGGTAATTATTGAGTTTTCCACTTTTTAGCTAACAGAATACGAGCCACAGTTGTGGCATACAAAAATAGATTAACATCTTTCTTGGGCAATTCCAAACCTGTTATTCCAAGAAGAAAGGCCTCTGGTTTCTTTGTAAATGTATATTTCAACATTTTTTCCAATTCATTATAAATCTTTTCCCAGAAGTCTTTCACCTTGGGGCAGGTCCACCACATATGAAAGAATGTTCCTTCCTTTTCTTTGCATTTCCAACATGTATTATCACAGTTATGATACATCTTTGCTAATTTTACAGGAGTCAAATACCATCTATACATCATCTTCATAATATTTTCCTTTAACAAAGTACATGCGGTGAACTTCACCCCTTTCTTCCGCAATCTTTCCCAATCCTCAAACATTATATTATGTACTAAATCTCTTGCCCAATCTATCATCACCGATTTAACTTGTTCATCTTTTGTATGCCACTCCAGCAAAAGCTTGTACATTTTAGATAAGTTTTTACCTTCAGTATCTAACAACTCCATCTCCAACTTGGATTTTTCCAAGGCAAAACCATTTTTCTTATCCAGTTTATACAATTCGTTAATCTGGTGGTAATGTAACCAATTTAGCTTATCTTTAATTTGCTCAAATGGTCTTAATTTATAACCTTCCTCTTCCTACCATTGGCAGCTGTCTAAGGAGAAAGATCCTGAGTGGCTGAAAGTGAGCACACATGTCTGAGTCTCTGCTCCACCACCTAAAGTGCTGCTCCTTCTTCTTGTGAAGGACTTTGTTCCTTCTCCCAGTGTTAAAGTAAGATTTAACTGTCTGGGGCCATGCTAATCTTCTCTGTATCGTTCCAATTTTAGTATATGTGCTGCCGAAGCGAGCACAATAAATTCTCAATAAATATTATTTTAAAAAAGAAGTCTCAAAAAAAGAAGAAGATTTAACTGTCTGTCCAGTCAGCTTTTGGATATTGTGTGTTTGTGTGTGGATGCGGGTGGCGCTGTGGTCTAAACCACTGAGCCTCGTGGGCTTGCCGATCAAAAGGTTGGAGGTTTGAATCCCCACGATGGGGTGAGCTCCAGTTGATCTGTCCCAGCTCCTGCCAACCTAGCAGTCAAAAGCACGCCAGTGCAAGTAGATAAATAGGTACCACTGTGGCAAGAAGGTAAACGGCATTTCCGTGCACTCTGGCACTCATCATGGTGTCCTGTTGCACAAGAAGCGGTTTAGTCATGCTGGCCACGTGACCCAGAAAGCTGTCTGTGGACAAATGCCAGCTCCCTCAGCCTGAAAGCGAGATAAGCACCGCAACCCCATAGTCACCTTTGACTGGACTTAACCATCCAGGGGTCCTTTACCTTGACCTACCTATTCAGCTAGAATTGGGGACATGCAGAACAGAGAAATCTTGATGAAACCCGAAACGTTTTCCCCTCTAAATTTCTCCTTGAATAATCAGGGCAGCCCTACCATTAGGGAGATTGAGACAGCTGTCTCAAGAGAAAGATGCTGAGTGGCTGAAGGTGAGTGTGCATGTCTAGGTCTCTCCTCCACCACCTAAAGTGCTGCTCTTTCTTGTTGTGAAGGACTCTGTTCTACTGCCAGTGTTAAAGTAAGATTCAACTGTCTGTCCAGTCAGCTTTTGTATACTGTGTGTTGGTGTGTGTGTGTGCTACTGCCCAACTTAAGTTGGGCAACCCCCGGTCAATAAAATGCTGACCCACCATAGCCTACCTGCTTCACTGGGTGCTTGGAACCCAGTGCCTAGAGATTTCCTTTGCCATCACAATATTTCCAACAGGATAATCCTGTACTACCCCGGATCCTTGTGTCTTCTCCTTCACTAGAGAAAGTTCACACGTTGTCGATTTGTTTTAGCAACGGCTAGATGAAACCAACCCATGTAACTGTTTTCCCTACCCAAACCAGATTGACATTGTGGTTCTTTCGCATCGTTTTGCTTTTCTTTCCTCCGCGTGGAAACTTTGCGTCTGCACACGACCGTCCCTGAAATAAGCTGAGGAAGCACATTCCCTTATTAACGACACATAGCACTTTAAGAGAGTTGAAATTTATAGCCTGTGTATTTATTTGCATGTGTTAGAAACATTCCTTTGGGGACAGGTATTAAGAAGTAGAACAGCTGTGGTTAAACGCACACCCTCCGCTCCATCTGTAAAGGGGGAAAACTTATTTCGAGATCTGGGCAAGTTAACCTTGCCAGGTAAGACATGATTCTGCAGCAGAACTTCTGATGCTTCTCTAACTCGTTCAAAAAGAAGACAGTTTTTGACAGACAGGAGCCCTTCCCAGGGATCCAGGTGAGTGTGTCAGGGCTCAAACTGTATAGGAGACAGGGGGCATTTGTGCCTCCCTCACCACAAGGCCCTGTTCATGCTGCCTGTCAGGTGAGGAGTATCCTCTACTCCTCTGTTAGCCTCAGAGGCAAGAAGAACAAACAGTTCATATTTTATGGCTTTTTATTCAGTCATCTGGTTGCAAGATAAAAGATCCATGTCTCTACGCATAGGAGACTTTGGCTACTCTGAGCACTTCCACTTCAGTCCCCAACAACATCCTGAAAATCAACGGGAAGTCCCAGGAGCCATACCCCTTTGCATCCTTTGTTCTTGAATGCGTAGGGACCTACGAGCCCTTGATGAAGGAGGATCTTCCTGTTGGGATACTGCTAGGGAGATGGAGGCATCAGACAGGCCTCCAGTCGTCTCCGGACGATCACCGGTCTCCCGTGGAACAGCATCAGTCAATTAGCGACACGAGCCTCAGAGACATTCCAAGACCCGTGCACACCCTTTCAGCAGAGTCTCCACAATGAAAGGATGCAGACAGGAGAGCATGTTTACTGCTTTATTCAACGTAGTTCAGAACAAAGGAAAAACATGACTTGTCTCCTTGTCCAGGAAAACAGCCAGAACAAAAGCTATATACAAAACGGAAGTTCCCAGCGAGAAGCTGGAAGTAAACAGGCATGTGACACACAACAGCCTGTTCCCTTTTTAAGGTGGAACGGAACTATATCCTAACACTTCCAGACTCTCCAGGGAGGTCTCTGCTGGCTGCTCTCCAGCTTCCTCCCTCCTCCACTATCTCATAGCTAGGCATTTTTCATGCAGATGTGAAATAGCCCTGCCTCCTTCTCCTTCTGAAACTGCCGGAGACACGGAGGGCAAAATTTCTCACTCCCCCTCTTCTCCCAAGAAGAGCTAAGCAGACTGAGGGGGCCCTTCCATCTCTCCTGCCCAGACCAGTCCCTGACACTGCCCCTCACTTCCCCCTCTCCCAATCCTGGCATGTTCAGCACAAAGGTCTGAAGGAAGAGGCTACTCCCTTTCAGTTGAACACAGTTATAATCCTCACCAGGGCTAGTTTTCTATAACCCACCTTGTTCTCTTATAATGGCAATGGCACCCACCTGAGAGGTGCCAGAACTGAGTTCCGGCGAGTTCCAGCTGAAAAAAGAGCCGTGATCATCACAATGATTTGGAACCCTGCGCAAGATGACCTGTCACTTATCTGTCCGGTCCATGAGGACACATGAGAATATATGTAAGTGGAAATTAGGAGTAAACTTTTGCAAGGAAAATATACTTACATGAATTGGGTAGAACGCAAGCCTTAACTTTTTCCTTTGAAGGCAGTACTGAACGGCTGCATTCATTTCCAATCCAGCAAGCTATAGGAAATGTACATTGCCAAAGCTTGTTAAAAAGCTAATTCTCTAGGAACTCTGAAAGTAGAACTCCTGTGGCTGGAAACTCCTTGCAACACAGTGCACGGCCCAAAATGTATTAATCCTGGCCTTCGTGTTTTGATAAATAGACCAAGGAGCAGCCATTGATTAATTCTCTCCTGCCTCTCCTCCTGAACTAACAGGGCTGGAATTGAAATTCAGGAGGCTCATGCTCATGCAGATGCCTTCCAGGGTGCTGTCAAATATGGAGATTGCACACACTGGGTTTCAGCAGGTAACCAGCATAAACACGATTTTTAAAACTAACACATAATAGCCCAATGAAACCACACATTCAAAAGCCAGCACACCCAAAAATAGACTCTTCCTCACTATACGATGCTTCCCACCCTGCACAATAAGGCCTCCAGGTGCAGCTAAGGCCTTAATCTGTTTGTTTCTTTTGTATAGGGACCTGTATTTGTTTCCTCTCCAAAATGGAGGGACCCTAAACAACCAATAAAACAGGAATAACAGCTTTGTTCAGGTGTTTGGTACCCATGGAAACCAAATGTACAAAAGAAGAATGTATGGGCTAGCCATACACTACAGATGCCAATGCGAATGCCAGGCACACAAACCTGGTGGTATGTGATTGCCATCAATCTGGCAGAGGACCACACAAATATAAATGTACTAGTGTAGGGTACCCTCCATAGAAATCAGAACCTTGGTCCATCAAGGTTCACATCCCCATGGAGAGAAAAGCCCTATGTGAATACATAAATATGGCTTCCTTCAGTCTGACACTGAAACAATATTCAATAAAATACAATAAGCAGCAGTAAGGCACATGATGGCAGAAAGTGAGGAGGAATTAAAGAACCTTTTAATGAGGGTGAAAGAGGAGAGCGCAAAATATGGTCTGAAGCTCAACATCCAAAAAACGAAGATCATGGCCACTGGTCCCATCACCTCCTGGCAAATAGAAGGGGAAGAACTGGAGGCAGTGAGAGATTTTACTTTCTTGGGCTCCATGATCACTGCAGACGGTGACAGCAGTCACGAAATTAAAAGACGCCTGCTCCTTGGGAGAAAGGCGATGGCAAACCTAGAAAGCATCTTAAAAAGCAGAGACATCACCTTACCAACAAAGGTCCGTATAGTTAAAGCCATGGTTTTCCCAGTAGTGTTGTAATAATAATAATAATAATAATAATAATAATAATAATAATAATTTATTATTTGTACCCCGCCCATCTGGCTGGGTTTCCCCAGCCACTCTGGGCGGCTTCCATAGAAACAAAAAAACAGTAAAATATCACAGATTAAAAGCTTCCCTGAACAGGGCTGCCTTAAGATGCCCTCTAAATGTCAGGTAGTTATTTATTGCTTTGACATCTGATGGGAGGGCATTCCACAGGGCGGGCGCCACTACCGAGAAGGCCCTCTGCCTGGTTCCCTGTAGCTTTGCTTCTGCAATGAGGGAACCGCCAGAAGGCCCTCGGCGCTGGACCTCAGCGTCCGGGCAGAACGATGGGGGTGGAGACGCTCCTTCAGGTATACTGGGCCGAGGCCGTTTAGGGCTTTAAAGGTCAACACCAACACTTTGAATTGTGCTGGAAGTGAGAGCTGGACCATAAAGAAGGCTGATTGCTGAAGAATTAATGCTTTTGAATTATGGTGCTGGAGGAGACTCTTGAGAGTCCCATGGACTGCAAGAAGATCAAACCTCTCCATTCTTAAGGAAATCAGCCCTGAGTGCTCACTGGAAGGACAGATCGTGAAGCTGAGGCTCCAATACTTTGGCCACCTCATGAGAAGAGAAGACTCCCTTGAAAAGACACTGATGCTGGGAAAGATGGAGGGCACAAGGAGAAGGGGACGACAGAGGACGAGATGGTTGGACAGTGTTCTCGAAGCTACAAACATGAGTCTGACCAAACTGCGGGAGGGAGTGGAAGACAGAAGTGCCTGGCGTGCTCTGGTCCATGGGGTCACGAAGAGTTGGACACGACTAAACGACTAAACAACAAGGCACATGCAAAAATGAAACTAAAGGAGAAGGCCAGGATTATTCAGAAAACCTGTGCAGCAGTTTAAATGAAAGGCTTGCAAGGAAAGGAACCACAGCAGTGAAAGGGTACTGGCGGAGTAACAGACAGCCTGATCAAATGAGAGTAGGGAGTTTTACATACTGGGTGCCAAGACCCTTTCATATGCTCTAAGTAAAGATGGATGAATAATTCTGTTTCCTGTCCATTTCTCTTTCACATGCAATCACCCCCAAATCCAGTTTCTGCAGCAATCTGCAATTTTTTTAAAAAAATCTGCTCCAAAATGCCATTTTTAATTATACATTTCTAAGCATACATATTTTCTCTCAAAGTGTGCAATCCTAAGTGTGCATTTCTGAATGTGTTTTTTCTCTGAAAGTAATATTTTTGCAATATGTTTTGAGCCAACAACTGCAGTGGAGCACTGGGGAAGTGCAAAAGTTAGGGGACTTAATGCATGAACCATCTATAGTGGTACAGTTGCTTGTTTTGTTTTGTTTTGTTTCCCATTATTCAGCTAGTATACAAGAATGGGGGCGGGGACCCTCCTTTTTCTTCTACTGCAAAAAATCCAACTTTTGTGAAAGCTCTTGAATGGATTCTCAATATTTTAATTTGTGTGGCATGTATACAACCATCATCCCGGTTTCTGCTTGCAGGGAATCCAGCATTTTTAAGAGTGAATTTGTGGCTGATTGGGACACGGGTGGTGCTGTGGGTTAAACCACAGAGCCTAGAACTTGCCAGTCAGCAGGTCGGCAGTTTGAATCCCGCGATGGGGTGAGCTCCCGTTGCTCGGTCCCTGCTCCTGCCAACCTAGCAGTTCGAAAGCACGTCAAAGTGCAAGTAGATAAATAGGTACCGCTCCAGCGGGAAGGTAAATGGCGTTTCTGTGTGCTGCTCTGGTTTGCCAGAAGTGGCTTAGTCATGCTGGCCACATGACCCGGAAGCTGTACACCGGCTCCCTCGGCCAATAAAGCGAGATGAGTGCCACAACCCCAGAGTTGGTCACGACTGGACCTAATGGTCAGGGGTCCCTTTATCTTTACCTTGTGGCTGATTGTCTGCACCTTTGATCTTGTATCCCTCTTATAAGATAGTGAATTTGGGTGTCTTCCTTTCCATGCTAATGGCTGGTTGTGCTCAAACTGAGAAATTATGAGGTTGTCGTCACCCCAGTTATGCACCCTCACATTTCTTCAGCCAGTCAATTTCTGGGTGGTTGTGAAAGATTGCATGTGGAAGAGAAATGGACACAGGGATAGCCCTTTCACTGCTTTCTTTAAATTATATATTTAATGCCCAGTGCTCTGGAATTTAATGCCTAGAATTTCACACATGCTATTGCAAATCTTGTTGTTGTGGCAGAAATTTGTCTGCAGGTGATGATTGTGGCCAGCTCTTTGACTCAGAACCATCATCTCTATCTGCCAATATCTTTCATATGTCTGACAGCTTGCACCACTCAGAGGGCAGTTGTGTGAAACAGACATATCCAAAACCACCTCCACCACCATCTCCATATAGAAACCAGGGTGGTGGTTCTACACATGCCACACAGGTGAAAATACAATAGCTTGGTGAAGAACAGCACAGCTATTGTCAGACATCAGAGGATCCAACCCACATGGCAGGTTGCCAGGAACGGATAAGACACAGAAAAGTTCTTACCACTTGCTTTTTATTCAATATTCACAGAGAGTGGCTTAGAAGTGCTGCTTCTTGGAATAATGATGTTGCTCTGAGTGAGTTTCCACTCCCTCCCTCTCTCCCTTCATGTGTCATCACTACAGGCGCTGAGAAGTATCCTCTGCCTTTGAGCTCTTTGCACTCCTACTTTCAATGCCTGCCAGGTTCTGGGAGTGGGGATCTGGAATGCTTTCTAAAGACACGGTGTCTGTCAGCTGTCACCCCTCTGGCATTTCTTCTTCCTCCTCTCTCATTATTTCCCAGCTTTTCCCCTCATCCGCCTCTGAGCTGTGATCTCTCTCAAACCCCTGTTGTAATTCTGAACTGTCTTCTTCTTCTCTGGAAGGATCAGGTTGATAGCTATTTGCCCTCAAAACAATGCACTAGACATCTCTCCAAAAGCTGGAGACCTACTGGAACAATATGGAAATGGGACATTTCTACTTCTGCTGGACATAATTTGTGTCATGAAGTTCATGTTAATAAAAACGGCAACCATCCATCCCACACAGAGCAAGCCAAGTTTGATGGAACACTGGGTTTCCGCTGCTTCATAAATTTGAATCAAGCTTTGAGTGTGGGGGTGGAAGGGCTACCAGTAGCAGCCAGGAGGACCAGAATGAAAGCTTTATTTACTTGCACCCATGGGAGTGTCAATCTCCTCCTCTCTCTCTCTGTGTGTGGGTCAAATCAAGACAAAAATATATTAACACAATATTACATATTTTCAAACAGCTCAAGATCAGTTTCCAAACCTATGCAAACACATAGAAGCTTTTCGCTCTTCTGAGAGCTAGAAAAAAAGAGAGGTGGGTGGAATGATAATATCAGGACACCTCAAGCAGCAAAGCACCGTTTTTATGCATTCATACCCTTTCAGGGCATTATTTAACCATATTTTGTAGCCCTTTCCAAATGTCAAACTACACCGAGTCTTAGTCCCATGCATGCTTGCTGACAAATAATGCTTTACTCAATGGGACTTAGCATATTTCCATGGAAGACAGCGTAGGACAACTCACTGAATGAGCCCCATTTAATTCCATGGCACTTGTATCTACTCCATAGCATCTAGGATTCTGCTGGAAGGCTCCTAATATGAATATCTCTAAGATACATTGAGGTGGGGGTGGGGAATCCAAGTCAATTTAGTTTCAAAGCATGAAACTTCTCTATTACTAATCTTCTTTATGCATCTGATTACAAAGCAGGAATATTTAGATTACTTTATAGTTCATCTGCATCCTCTTTTCACCACAAATAAAAAGCGTTTCCAACAGAGAAATTGCATTTGGTCATGATTTATTCCCTTTATAAATGGAGCGCATACATTAGTTTGGAAGTTACTGTATTTGTGAGGAGCTTGGTAAGATAGATTGCAAGTAATACAGGCACGGGGGGAAATTACTATGAGAATCACATCATGAACTCATGAAATAAACCCTCACATATTTTATTCAGTAACCAGTTGTTCTGATACCATTTGTAAAGAATGGCATGCAGTCAACCAAATTAAAAATAGTGGGGAAGGGGGTAATGTAGATTTTTGTGAAACTGCTTCCCCTTCATAGATAGGCAGTCCGATAGCAAGGGCAGAATGACATTGAGCGGGAGACGATATTCCTGAAAACCTTGAAGACAAATAATAAACGTTTCAATTCATTCAGCATAGAAGTTTAAATGGCAGGTGCCAAATGAGCATTTATGTATGAAGAAGAAAGCTAATTGTGGCTTTAATACATAGACAGCATAGGAATCCCAGTAAAATATTGGAATGGGGATGGGTAGACCTGCCTTGGGAAATTTTACTAATCTCACTGAAACTCTTTTAGCTTCCCTCAAAATTTCTCAGGCGTTTTGCTTGAAAGTGAAGCTCCACATTGTCATAAAATTTTGTTCTAGGCTGATATGTGACCAACACACAATCTGGCCATTCCCCAGGAAATCCTCTCATAATTCCAACTGGCTTTCCTCAGACCTCCTATTTATGTGAAGAACAACCCAACATCAAATTTCACTTTTGACGCAATTGCAAGTAGCAAGTCTTTCCACATTTAAGAAGCGAGGAGGGAGGGGGAAGTATTGATACCTTCAAACAGCTACACTTCTTGGGGTTTCCTTGGAAGAAGCTATTAGAGCGAAGCCACTTTAGCACTGTAAAGGGACAAAAACGTAGCCCATAATGACTAGATTTCCTCAAATTTGATTTGATAATATGCTTTAACAAGAAGCAGGTCTGAAACCTGAAATCAGGAGGAAAGTGTTCCATTGTCCTTTAAACTTGCAAGAGAAACCAGCAATTAGCACAACGTCAATTTCTGGTCTGGAAACAACTCTTGGAATTTCAGGGCAATAGGAGACAGTTCAGGAATCAGTCCCCTTCAGAGGTTAATTGAGTAACTATGTAATTCACCCCCCCTTCCCTTCCCAGAGCACCATTCAAAAGCACTCCAGTTTCATTCCTCTTCATCTGTTACACTGCTAAGAGTTTGCCTTCCGTATTCCAACTCCCTTCCTCTCTCTGTTTAAAACTTCGTGCTATAGACACTGAGAAATGGGAGAGAAGCCACAATTGCCAGATTTGCTCATCCCCAAGTACCATAAATACTGCTGACTGTGAAAATGAGCATTGTGTTGCCGTGAACATTTTTAAATGACTTGCACTAAGGGCCATTTGACGCATATCACTGTAGCAAGCCCAGGAATGTGATCAAGGGCAAAGTCAGCAGGGAACTGTTTTCAGCCCACACTGACGTTATGTTGGAGGGATACCTTATGCTCCTTCTGGAAAAGTTTTTCCACCATTGGTCCTTACCCTGCACTCAATTCTCACCTGTGGCTGCTAGAAGCTTTCAGCATGTGGTAGCGGCCACACCCAGGGAATGGCTTTGACTGGCCAGCTAAACCAGGTGAGGGTAGCCAGTGAGTCTCAAGCCCTGTGTGTGAATACAGACTCTGGTGGATTGAGCGGATGAGACCAATAATGGGCCCAACAGTCAAGAAGCTGGTTTCTGCACCTGCTGTAGAGCAGCGGTTCTCAACCTGTGGGTCCCCAGTTGTTGTTGAACTACAACTCCCATCATCCCTGAGCTCTGGCCTTGCTAGCTAGGGGTGATGGGAGTTGTAGTTCAACAACATCTGGGGACCCACAGGTTGAGAAAGGCTGCTGTAGAGGGAAGTGAGGGACAGGTGGGGCTCCTCCATCTGGGAAGTTAGCCCATCTAGGAGAAGGAAAACTCTGATCCTAAACCTCCACTGCTTTGTGGGATATCCTGGGAGAGACAAAGGCTAAGGAGTAAGCGCTAAACAAATCTGGAGTGGAGTCCCTAAAACGGTTGGATGACTCCTTGTAGGCTTCCTTCTGGCAACTCCTGCAGCCAAGCTGGCGCCAGAGCCATGTTGTTTGTGTCAGGAAAGGAGGGTGGCTCCACAGCTCTCTGCTCAACCATTCAGATCACTACTGCTTATTACTTGCCACTCCAGTTGTGGCTGAAATAGAGCTCTGGTGATTGCTTGAACCCACCAGTGTTAGTACAGAGGTTGCAACTGTGGAGTTCATTCAGCACTCGCCTCCAATTCTAATTTCACAGCCACACTGATGATACTTACTGCTATTATGCCACCTACGGCCGGAGTGATATTAAAGCCCAATTTGGTTCAAGACCCAAACTACATGAACAAAATAGTGATAAAGTATTCTTTTCTTAAAAATTAAAATAAATCAAGCAAGCCACAGTAATTAGGGATATGTTCACAGGCTTTGTTGATGTCCATGAAATTTTCCATTTTCAGATACTGCTGAAAAATGCATATGAAATATGTTATATCTATCACATTGTCAACACCAAACTGCAGTACTGAACATCTTATCACTTGCTATCAAGACATAACAGAAGGACAGAAACATGTTTGATTATTTTTTTAATTCAAGAAAAGTCACGGTTCCTTAAATGATGTCAGACTGAAAGATTAGGAATATAACATGAATGCATTAGTGAAATTGAAAATAATTTTGGGAAGAACAAGGAAGTGTGGTTTTCTTGTCTTGTCCTATCTTATCTTGGCAATAATATTTTGAGAAACGTTGGACACCATATATTTTATAATACAGGAGTCAGAAATTCAATATGGACATTAATTTGTATAAGGTGTTTTCACTGTCAGAGTGGATTCTATCTAACTATTTTGTTCTCAAGAGTAGATCCATTTATTTCAATAGACAGACAGTCTTGCTTATGTCTACTTATTTCAATGGGCCTTCTTTGAATATGACATATCAGATACAACCCAACAGGTATCTGACTATTAGTAGTAGTAGCATGAGTTATAGTTGCAGGATTATGCATGGAGATTAAGTAGCTAAGTGGTACCTAACTTGGCATTATCCAGATGTTCTCAACTACAGCTTCCATCATGCCTGACCATTGACCATGTTGAAGCCCCCTACCAAAAGAAAACCTAATTATTTACCCAGAGTCTAGGGACAGGTTGATTTATCTGGCTAAGTGTACAGAGGTAGTCAGATTTTGTACAATTTGTCATGTTCAGTGCATTTTTTCTCCATTCTGTAAATTTTCATGAAAGGGAAATGTCATGAGGTGTGCATATTTGTGTGTTCTGTTCAGCACAACTCTTTAGAAAGGTGCACTCAATTTTGATATTTAGGTAAAAAAAGCCAGCAGATACTTAGCACGTCACATCTTAGATTGATATTCAATATTAGTCATATTCAGCGTAGACCTGCTGGAATTCTATGCTATGGCTAACATTGGATAGGCACCTAAGACATCACTTCCTTTTTGCTAAGTAATTTGCATATTTCATTTCATGGACACCTTATAAATTACCATCAGGAGAATCTTCCCTCATTTTGTGAAGTGACAGAGGACAGAGGGCCTTCTCGGTAGTGGCGCCTGCCCTGTGGAACACCCTCCCATCAGATGTGAAGGAAATAAGCAGCTATCTTATCTTTAAAAGATATCTGAAGGCATCCCTGTTTAGGGAAGTTTTTAATATTTAATTCTGTATTATTTTTAACACTCGATTGGAAGCTGCCCAGATTGGCTGGGGAAACTCATGGGCGAGGTATAAATAATAAATTATTATTATTATTATTATTATTATTATTATTATTATTATTATTGCAAAATGCCGCTTCCTTGTCTGTGATTGCATTGCAGCTTTGCATTCAACTATGATGCTAAAGTTAGGGAAACAAAGTCTTCCTATAAACACCTGATATAGGCGCATTTAATAATACTGCACTGCGAGAAACCCTCGGCATATTTTTGTTTTGGGAATATGAAAAGCTGTACATATGGCCAAAACAGAGTTGTTTACAAAGTTTGCATGTGAATTAGAATGCGGAGACAACATAGCCATCTGTCCGGAAAGTCGTCTTTCATTTGTTTACCTCAAAGTTGATAGGCTTAGAGAACACAAGAGGGAGGAGCAACCGCAGGAGGCAGTTGCCTCTTCACTGTAGCAATTAGGAGAGGGCTTTTTGTAAAGAATTCTCATCATAAAGCTTTACACAAATGGCTTTTCAGCCAACCACAGAAAAGACAGCATCTTTGGCAGGTTGCACTATCGCCACCTAACTGGCACTTTGGTCAGACGACTTTGGAATAATATCAACAAACGTTTGGATGGATCTTTGCCGTAAAGTAATCACACTGAAGCTCCCTACCCAAAAAAATCGAGAGGATGTGCAAACGAGGGAAAACTCATACAAGAAAGGGAAAGTATTTTTGTGGCACAGTACACCAATCGAGTGCAAGCAGTGGACAATTTTCCAGCTTATTTAGAGAAGAAGGGCTGTTCCATATACATGCAAATTCATGTACATGCAAGTACATCAAATCAAATCAAATCTTTATTACAGTTTTATTACAGTCAAAGACCAGTAGAAGGGGGGAGAGGCACAATCTGAAAAATGATTTGAAAAACTAAAAAGAGTTAAAAGTCTATAAAGAACCTAAAGGAAGCTAGGAAAGTCTAAAAGAAGGGTTAGGAACATTAGACGGGAGTGGCAGATCATAAGAGGTTAGGATATATATATAAGACTATAGCTATCAATCTACAGAGCACTCTGATATGGGTGCTCATTCTTAATCTAGTTTGTGGCACAGATCATGCAAGTACATCATTTGGTTACAGCCCAAATGGCTATACTCTAAAACACACGAGCAAGGTAGAATTCACATTTCCCCCCAAATCTTGAGCAAACTATAGCAATTAACTGCCCCATTGGACCTCAGGTGGTGGGTAGAATCACTGTGTTTCTACTTTTCTTTGCCTCCAGTTTTCCCTTTCTACTAACAACTTGAGATCAAAATTTGGCTTTGCTCTTTCGTGAACATCTGTCTACTAACAAAATGCAATGGGTAAGGTGTTGCACAGAGGATCTGCATATAACAAAGGCCACCAAAGGTCACTTCCCACAAGGACATGCTGCCCTGCATTGCAGGATACCTATCAGCAAGAGCTTGTTGTTGTTGTTTAGTCATTTAGTCATGTCCAACTCTTCGTGACCCCATGGACCACTGCACGCCATGTACTCCTGTCTTCCACTGCCTCCCGCAGTTTAGTCAAACTCATGCTGGTAGCTTCGAGAACACTGTCCAACCATCTCGTCCTCCGTTGTCCCCTTCTCCTTGTGCCCTCAATCTTTCCCAACATCAGGGTCTTTTCCAGAGAGTCTTCTCTTCTCATGAGGTGGCCAAAGTATTGGAGCCTCAGTTTCACGATCTCCTTCATGGATCACTGCCTTGCTGTGGCGAAGGGGCTTGAATAACTCAGAGAAGCTAGGAGCTATGCCATGCAGGGCCACCCAAGATGGGCAGGTCATAGTGGAGAGTTTTGACCAAACGTGATCCACCTGGAACAGGAACTGGCAAGCCACTCCAGTATCGCTTCCAAGAAAACTCCATGGATAAAGACAACAGGCATATCAGCAAGAGCTAGTCCATCCCAAGTAATACCCTGCTGTAATTAGACTTGAAAGAAAGGCCACTATTGCAACCAACAGAAGGCTTTTTCCAAGCCTAATTGGAACAAGAAAAGGGTCATTTGGAGGGGTCATAAGCAGGGTCTGGGTAAAGGTTAAGGCTTCATTACCCCTGAAATTACCTTTCCCCCACTGCAGTTAAATTGGGAGGAACTGAATCTGTTAATTTGGGTTTCCAACTTGCCCAGTTTTAAGTGCAGCTTGTGCCATTTCTTCATTAGTCTTTGAGCTTTTATTTTATAAAAAAAGAAAAAGTCCACTTGAAATTTTGTGCACAATTTTTCTGTGCGTTTCTCCTAATATGCATTTTCTTTTTCATGTTGCTGCACGGTCTCTGAAGTGAGACCTCTGAAGCATTGTGCATTACCAACTTTATAGTGTAAAATATTAGACAGCCACAACTAAGAAGAAAGGAACCAGACAAAGACTGCACACCTCATCAAATCCTTCACTTGCGATTGAAATGCTTCTTTCACTATTGACTCCTTAGAGCCTAATCCTAAGGCATGCTATGTCAACAGAGGAGGTAATCGGATGGGGAACATGAGGAGCTGCATCAGCTCAAAGTTACAGAACATGATGATAAAGCCATATTACAACAATGTGCCAGCACAGAAGCTTAGGACTGAAGTGTCAGTTGCATTCTGTAAAATGTCAATGAAGTTAAATGCACCATACTGATTACTGCAATGAACAGCCTTCCTTCCCGCATTATCTGTTCCTGGGCACCTGAACTCAGAGATACGCTATCATGTAATTGCTTCATATAATATGAATACAGAGAGTGAACTTTAATTAGTAGTTTAAATATATGCCAAACTGGATCATTTTGAATCCCAATTAAAATTAACAGCAGCAATTAATTCAGACTTATTAGTCACCAGCTCAAATTCCAGCTGCTGACATTTTCAAGGGAAAACTGAGCAGTGTTTGCTGAAGAGATGGCACAAAACATCATCATCAGGGGACATTATGTTAGTTATTTGTCAGAAACATGTTAAGGCCTTTCCATCTGGCTCACTGTCACTGATACAAGGGATCTACAAATCATACAGGTTGTCAAACCAGCAATAGAATAATGGGGGGGGGGGGATTTTCTGGTTGGCTTCAGATAAACAGTGAACCTAACAGATCCCTGTGTCAATGAAATTAATATTCGCCATTAACAATCCAAAGAAACCAGAAACCATGGGTTTAATTTCTGCATTTGTCAAGGTGAAAAATAAAAATCCCTGGGGCAAATAACAAGTATCAGAGAGGTCTATGTTTTGCTATATATGGTTGATACTGTTACAGATTTGGGGTCTGTTGGTGCATAGCAGAAATTAATAAATGGTAGTATTTAGATAATATGTGTGATATGAAGGGAATATACAAGGTGCAGAGGAATTTATGGGTTAGCACATGCAAAATGGCCTGGCTGGACTAGCCAAGTGCAAGGTTATTAATCAACAATACTGGGCCATTAAGTGCCATTGATAATGCAAAAGACCCTGCTCTGAGGAGATTTGGAAGGTTACCAGGGTAACTGGATGCAATGTCAAAGGAGGATTTTGTGCTTTTTGCAAGAAGCTGGGAATAGCTGGGGCTGAAAGGTAGGACTGTGTTTTGCAGAGTGTGTGAAGGAGGAGGAGGAGGAGGAGGAAGCCCTGAACCATCTTAGCTGCTGGCTGAAGAGGCAGCAACCAAGAGACTGAAGAACATGGTTGGCTCCTCTAGACTCAAGCTGGCTGAAGCCATGGGAGAAGCAGGGACAAACACTCTTGAGAGGACAATGCTGTAACAGCTGTAACTTCCTCCACCTACACTCAGGTTGCATACATGTGAATAAACCATACAGTGGAACCTCGGGTTACATACGCTTCAGGTTACATACGCTTCAGGTTACAGACTCCGCTAACCCAGAAATAGTGCTTCAGGTTAAGAACTTTGCTTCAGGATGAGAACAGAAATTGTGTTCCAGCGGCGTGGCAGCAGCAGGAGGCCCCATTAGCTAAAGTGGTGCTTCAGGTTAAGAACAGTTTCAGATTAAGTACGGACCTCCGGAACGAATTAAGTACTTAAACTATGGTACCACTGTATTTAAGGTAAAGGTAAAGGGACCCCTGACAGTTAGGTCCAGTTGTGGCCGACTCTGGGGTTGTGGCGCTCATCTTGCTTTATTTGCTGAGGGAGCCGGCATACAGCATGTGGCCAGTATGACTAAGCCGCTTCTGGCGAACCAGAACAGCACACAGAAACACTACCTTCCCGCTGGAGCGGTACCTATTTATCTACTTGCACTTTGACGTGCTTTCGAACTGCTAGGTCGGCAGGAGCAGGGACCGAGCAATGGGAGCTCACCCCGTTGTGGGGATTTGAACCACCGACCTTCTGATTGGCAAGTCCTAGGCTCTGCGGTTTAACCCACCATATATATTGAAGTCAAATTCCACCGCGTCTTGATTCTCAAAGGAAACACAACCCCAGGTGAGAACCTGGTACCCCCTGGAATCTTGTGCACCACTCGGCAGAGATTGGGGGCTGGCATGCTACCTTTGTAACAATATCAATGGATTAAATCATATTAATTATATGTTATTATTTCAACAGCAGTAGTAAACAGAAGAAAGCCTCCTAATAAGAGGGCGGCATCAAAACGACTTAATATTTTGTTTAATTTTTCCTCTTCAAGGTGGAATTCGTTTTTTTGCTCAGTCAACCAACATCTGCTCCATTTTTCAGACTTCATATAAAAAAAATCCTGCTTGAAAAGCATAACCTGCTGTGTCACTTTCAAGACAAATTCAGAAGTGGATTCACAAGAATGTACCTGGTCAGGAAATATTTGTTTCGTTATGGATTTCCCCACCCCCATTTAAACTTTTGTCATTTCTTTCCTGTTTTGAGATCCAAAATATTTCCTATGTATTTCACCGAAGTACTATAAAGGAGCTGTCAATCTTTGTATAAGACAGCTAACCAAATAAAATGTGAAAACTGAAAACAAACTAACCGACAACATACATTCAAATTCAAAACACCAGTCAAATGAGATTCAAAACATCATTTAAAATCAAGGAACCTCTTTAATATTGCCGCCATGTGACAAGCTCACTTTGCTATGGTTTCAGGCACCCTAACAGGGTATAAATCAAAGCAGAATGAAGCATAGGCAGAGTCAGATGAAGGAAACCATTTTATTGCCCCAAGACAACTATTCCATATGGATTTCAGAAAAAGATTAGACAACTTCATGGACAAGTCTACCTTTTCTTTTCCTATTTATAAATGGGGCTGGCCCCACCTCCCAGCAAGAAACTTGATTACTGAGGCTGGGCGTGAACCTCCAAAAATTAACACTGAGAGGCAAGCCAGCCCTGGGAACTGTAGCACCATGCATGATCCCGCAAAGGGCATCCACAATGTAAAGTGTGAGTGCTTATTATTATTATTATTATTACTACTACTACACTTAAGTTTGACTTAGTCACATGCCATGCTTAATTAATCAGTGCTGAGTAGCCCATTGACTACTCAATAGGACGCGGGTGGACGCGGGTGGCGCTGTGGGTTAAACCACAGAGCCTAGGACTTGCCGATCAGAAGGTCGGCAGTTCGAATCCCCGTGACAGGGTGAGCTCCCATTGCTCAGTCCCTGCTCTTGCCAACCTAGCAGTTCGAAAGCACGTCAAAGTGCAAGTAGATAAATAGGTACTGCTCTGGTGGGAAGGTAAACGGCATTTCCATACGCTGCTCTGGTTCGCCAGAAGTGGCTTAGTCATGCTGGCCACATGACCCGGAAGCTGTACGCCGGCTCCCTCGGCCAATAAAGTGAGGTGAGCGCCACAGCCCCAGAGTGGGCCACGACTGGACCTAATGGTCAGAGGTCCCTTTACCTTTACTAGCCTATTGAAGAATAGATATACAGGAGGCACATTCAAGTAGTGAGTGGTGCTTGGAAATAATACTGTTTAAAAACTAGTTCTATGCAAGAATACGGACAAAGAGTTAAGTTGCTACAGGCAATGATCACACATATAAAAAATAAAGAAGTGTTATAGGAATTGCTATAATAACCAGTGCAAAGCTAGGAGCTGATTTTTCCAGCTTGCCATCTGGAGTGGTGATTGCAAGTACAATAAATTTGCTTGGAATGACCAAGCAAGAACACATCCAAGCATTATCCACTGATAGACCAAAAGCAATCTCGTTCACTTTAAATTGTTTTTAGTATCTTCTGTTATCAGCAGCAGCTTTTCCTAAAAAGTTGGCTGGAGTTGAAACGGCCGATGAAATTGGCAAGGAAACTCAAACTACAAGACAATTAATTGCGTCGTTGAGATTTTTCTTTTAAAAAGCAACAGCAGATGGGTGATACCAAGATTTATTTGTATCCCGGACAAGAACTTAATAAACCACAAATACAATTGAGGCAAGGCAAGGGTTCCAAACAGGTCCTCCTTTTCGTTTGGTGAGATTCCAAAGAACGCAAGACGGCCGAGGCAAAATGGGCACACGCCCCTAAAAAGAGAAGTACAGATCTCAATCAGTGTGCCAGCAGCCATGGGCATGGTTTTTGAGTACAAGGCAAACCAAGCCCATCATTTCTGATATGAGTTATACTAGGAAACAGCTGGCAGCCATGTTGTCAGTTCCAAAAAGGGAGAGAGAAAAGGCAGCTTGTGCTGGCATTTAATGGCAAAGGAACAGGTTTTGTTGCTCCTAGCATGCCCAGAGATTAATGTAAATGTAATATGTTGCCAAAGCTGATAGCAAAATCTACCACGTCAAATGATTACTTCTAGTCTTGCAATAAAACAATGCCGTTAAATACATGTCAATCATTCAAATGGCCTTGGATATTAAATGCACAAGCCTTCCTCTGGTTGCTGCCAGATAACAACTATGCTCAACAAGCTGTGAAGAAAGGCTATGCTGTTTTTGGATACTTCAATTTGTTTTGGAGGAGAGGGAATTAATACAAAGGGGCAATACAGAGTTGGGAAATTGTGGATGGCATTGAAAGAGTGTGGTCCCCCCTCCCCCTGCAAAAGGTGAACACAGAAATGGAGGAGAAATTCTGTTTGGTTAGGATTTTATTGTGAATCCACCTAATTCGCACCACCTAAAGCAAAATGCAAAATGAAACACTGCCATCCTTTGAAATTTGCACTGCACTCGTCTGAATTTCGTGATGTTGCTTCCTGACCAAATAATGTGTACCAAATAATGGTAGGGGGAGTATGCACAAAAAAACCCATGATTCATTTATTTATATTCAGAAAGGTGTTTCAATATTGCTGAATCATAATGTATTTTATTTTATTTAATACATTAACCCAGAAAATCATGAGGCACGTGGGAAGAAAGGCTTCGTCTAGGGTGGTGCTTTCTGCAATGCATATAATCAAGAAGAAAGAAGTAGACTTTTTCTTCAAAACTTTTTCCAGGTCACCCAAGCAGCAACTTTACATCTGTGGAATACTTCAGCCATGCATATATGACACTGGATTTCTCACTTTGCTCCTGGCAGCTCAATGTGTGAAATAGTTCCTTTAAAGAGCATGGTATCGGAAATAAGCATGTTCTAAAATTCTCCTCAACTGAATTTCTCCCTAGATGTTGAAGTTCTGAATTAGCTGTCATTATTTCCATTTGGGACCAACCCAGTAGGAATCCTTCCGACTATGCTTTTTAATTTCTGAATTTTGTATATTGAATGCACAATTTTCATAGCTGCTGCTTCCTTCAGTCCCCTTGTGTCTTACCACTCCCTGCATTATTCGTGTTCAACACATGGAAGAAATGAGTGTTGGGCTGAAATATTTCGCCCAAAGGTTTTTGAAAAACCGAAGGTTGGTCTGGTGCGAAATTGCCTCCAGAAAATTAATGACAAGGCGGTGGTAGGGACACACATGGATTCGTACAATATGCATCTCACCTTGAATATAGAAAGTGGCCAAAATTTTATTCCCTCCCCTCCTGTCCTTTTCCTGAAAAACAAAAAACTCCCTTGCTATCACTTGAACTGGTGGTATGCTTACTGTGGCTGTTTTCCTGGAGCAGTGCTATGTCATGTCCCAGAGATTTGGGGTGGGGCGTTACTTGCTCTCATCTTCCCCATCCCCAGAGACAGAACTTTGATGCAAATATATACACAATCATATCAAGACAGAGTAAGCAAAACAAAACACACATGCACACGAGCTCAATTTTCCTTGTGCCAATGTGAAAGAGGTAAATCATTCCTGCTGGCTGCCTCCTAAGTAACCGCCTGCTTCTACACTGTGAACCTAAGTGTGGGTGGACAATGTGATAAATCCAAAGAAGGCTAGCAAGAAGCAGGGGAAGCGTTTAAATCCTTTCTTGAGCCTACCCTTGCTGGCTGGCATGCAAACCCTTGTTCTCCCCATGCCCCACCTCCTTCTGAAGTTGGATGCAAAGCCCCCCAAAGCACTCTGATTAAAAACTTTGCAAATGAAGGCACTCTTTATATGATTGCATGTAGGGTTGAATCAATGTAGAGGGAGGAAAAGATGCAAAGGAACCATGCATACTCAAGTTCCATAATTAGTTTTAGAAATGCTAGCTATACCAAGAGCCGGTGTCATGAACACACCAGCTTCAAGTGAAGGTTTGCAGTTGACTGCAAAAAGCAGCCAGGAACAGAGAGGCTGGGATTTCACTCAGGCATAGGAGAGCCGACAGCTGCAGGCTTCGCCTCCTCCTGACCTTGGACTGCAAGCTGATAAGGCTGTAGCGGAGAGTGGCCGAGAACACAGCCAAAGCTTTCAGAAAGCACAAACAGGAGCAAACTGGCACAGAGACAGTGGGTCAGAACAGGAAGAGATTGGAGCTAATCCAATCAGTCCAAAGAGTCGGTGAATGGGAGGGCTACTAGATCGGAAGCAAAACAAGAGACGCAAGGGATGCCGGTTCAATCTATTCTGCAGACACCGGAAGGAGTCTTCAGAAGGGTCATCTTGAGTGATAATGCCTCCCGGAGCGATCTGTTTGGTTTTGCAATAAATCCTCCTTTTTAATGACCTACTCTCACTGTGTATCAAGCTGGGAACTTGAACTCCTGACACCCAGCAAACCATAGGTGCATATTGGGGGAAGCCCACTCATCACGTGATCTGGAATCTTTGATCTCTTGTGGCTCAGGATGACACTTGGTAGTCATCACTTTGTGACCCAGTCACTGTGGTAAGTGTGCAATGGGAACAAGCCCTAATTGTGGATGTGAACCTGGGCTTTCCCCACTGAAGTCCATCTTTCTGAGTGATAAAGTCTCTTTATGAGTGATAAAGGCTTTAGTCACCAGAGAAGAGGAACACACGGCAGTTTGGTTTCAGTGGAACCGATGCATGCTCAGTTCTAATACAAGATTAAAGGTTGAAATTAATGCCTTGACATTGGAAGGGTCTGTCAGGGAAATCTTTATAATGTGTTTCCAAGATGTGTACTTCAGCAGAGCAGTTTGTACTCAGGTGGGCCATTTCACTGTCCTTTAGGTCTGGGACCTCTAACCAAATTATATCGACCTGATTTAGGAATAGACAGCTCATTCACTTAGGCCCTTAATGATTTCTTTCCTGAGACTATAAATTAGAACTGGTACAAGATGACACCCTCGAGCTAGCAAATGTTAATGCTCTTTTGTAAGAGTCATGCTGAAAATTAACTATCCTGCACTTATTAATGAAGAGGAATCAGGCTGGTAAAAAAGAGATCTAAAAAACTCTATGCATATATATGGAATATATATATATATATGGCAGAGACCTCTGGTCTAAGCAGCTGCAGTTCATTGAATGGTGGAATAAGATATATGAGGAAAGACCTCGAGCTTTCCACACATCATAAATGTGTAAGCTACTCTCAATTTCCATACTACTGAGAAACTCTCATTTACATCTTCTTATGACCTCAAGGGCACTGAGGTTACTTCAGTGTTGAAGGAAGGGAGAAATTCACAATTTCCTCTAAGGGATCATAAAGCCTCGCTGCCT